ATGTAACTTGGTCAGTCTGGACTTTAAGGTTCTGTTCATCCTTTCAACCTGAGCTGATGCTTGAGGTCGATAGGGACAGTGGAGATGCCACTTTATCTCTAACAACTTTGCTACTTCTTGACAAACCTTCCCAGTGAAGTGAGTTCCTTGATCACTCTCAGTGACCCTTGGGAGACCCCACCTTGGGATAAAATCTGTCACCAGACATTTAGTGGTATGTAGGACAGTGCCTTCAGTAGTGGCATATCTCTCAATCCACCTTGAGAACTTACAAATTATTATCAAACAGTCCTGTTTTTCCTGGCATCTTGGCAAAGTGATGTAATCTACCTGCAATTCTTGAAACGGGCCACTCGGTGGTGTTACAGTTTGGTAGGGGAGGGAGACTGCAAGTCCTGGATTTGCCTTAAGACAGGTGGTGCAAACTATACAATGACTCTCCGCATACTTGCGGAATTTAGGATTCCACCATACTTGGTTGAAGCCATATACCATCTGGGTTACTCCAGGGTGACCTAGACTATGTATGGTAGCCACCAAATAGGGAAGCAGGGCATCAGGAACCACATATTTACCCCCCTTAACCCAGACACCATCGCGAAGAGATGCACCTCGCTCAACCCAAGTCCAAACTTCCAAACCCGGGGCCTGCTGGTATGAAGCAAGCAGATCAGCCAAATTTTTAACAACAGGTTGTTCACAGGGTGACAGGATATATTCAATAGGCAAAAGACAAGCCTTTTTTGCTCCATTATCAGCTAAACAGTTGCCTTGGTGTTCAGAAGATGTGGCAGAAGAATGGGCTTTTATTTTAATAATAGCAACCTGTTTTTGGAAGTGTGAGCGCTTCCATGAGGTCTGCCACCTACTTTTTCACTGGGGTTCCATTTGCTGTCAAGAAATGTCTCTGCTTCCATAACAAGCCAAAATCATGGCATATGCCATGGACATACTTTGAATCGACAAATACATTTGCTTTTAAATCTTTAGCAAGCACACAGGCACGAGTTAGTGCTACCAGTTCTGCCTGTTGTGCGGAATAATGATCCGGCAATCTACCTGTAGCTATTTCTTCATACTGTGTTGTGACAGGCCACCCTGTGCGTCGTCCCTCATCAAGGATGCGGGAAGAGCCGTCTGTGAATAACACAACATCAGCATTTGGCAAAGGTGTTTCAGCATACATGCTCTGCACCGCACTAGACACCAGAGTTTCACAGTCATGATCATCTGAGTCATACTCCAGTTCCACCAAATGATCTGAAATAGCATTCACAGGTGCCCTTTTGATCACTATATTAGGGGCAGTTAAAACTGCAAGCCAGTTACCCCACCTTTGTGCTGTCACTGAAACAATCCTGCCATTTAAGAGCAAAGAGGAAACTGAGTGTGGACGTTTAACAGTAAGAATCTGATCCAAAACAATAGGAGCAACAGCTAAAACAGACAGATAAGTTGCCTGGATTGCTCTCAGGCAAGGTGACATTCCTAGCATAACCGTGTCTATTTTAGCAGAGTAATAAAACACAGACCTCTCTTTGTCACCATGAGGTTGAGTTAAACAGCTAGACACAAATCCTAGTGATTCTGAAACATACAGCGTGAATGGTAGTTCCATGTTCACTAAGCCTAGTGCTGGGGCCTTGCATAGAGCAGTTTTAAGGGAATGGAAAGCTTGTAACTCATCATCATTTAGCTGAAACTCAGGCTTCTGATTTTCTGTTTTGGTTAGATCGTATAGTGGTTGAGCCGTTTTTGCATAATCTTCAATCCAAGGCCGACAGTAATTGCACAATCCCAGAAAAGTGCGTAGCTGTGCTAGGGTGACAAGTGGTGAAATAGCACGTACCGCGGCACACCGGTCAGGCAAAATTGACCTCTGAGCCTGTGACACCAGCTGTCCCAAATACTGAACAGAGGATTGGTTAATCCGGGCCTTTTTAAAAGAGGCTTTGTGTCCTACCGAATGTAGGTAATCTAACAAAGCTAGCAAGTCATGTTCATGTTCCTCTGCATTTGAGGAAGCTATCAAAATAATACCTGACAATGTTGCATTATTAATTTCATACTGCTTAGTATTCAGACAAGGAAAATCCAGTCAGGTTGACATGTTCAACCTTTAGTAAGTCACAATCTGCAAGAGATTTGGACCACTTCAGGCATAAAAAATAAAACTAATACCTTGCCCCATGAGCTGATTGACACCTAATGCCACCATGACAACACAGGACAACCATAAAACCTTGCACAGACCCCAGTACAGGGCAGAGGTCAGCGCTACTTTGGGCTTCTAACCACAGCTTCAGTTGTATCTGAAACTCAACCCTGAGCTTTCCAGGAAGTTAGTTCCAGTCACTGTATCAAACTTAATTTAAAACATCAAACTTTTCCTTACGTTTATACTTCCACAGGCCTATTTTGCCTTGGAGGTCACATGCATTAAGACATGTTCTGCGAGTTTGCCAGAATGACATATTTAGCTTCTCATCTAGGGACCATATTTTATCTGAATGAACAGGCACTTTCTTTTGATTGTATTTGTCCAAATAGATGAGTCTATATGTTTATATAACTGTTCATCTGCTCTGACAATGAAAACATTATCAGACCAATCAGGTGCCACCCTACCACCCCTCTGTGTGGTAGCCTTTTCTCCTGCCATGGGCTTATGGGAACACTACCGCGGTCTTCCCCTCTGTTCCATCAACAAGAGGAGGATATCCTACTGGTTTCAGGGTTTGCTTCGAAATGGGCACTCACCTAGAGCATAGACATGAGATGTCCAATCCGGGAAAACGGCACCACTTGATAGAATCCAAACCCTGGAGACTCGATCTGTTGTCTGGACAAAGTGAAGTTTATTCGTTGCACGCGCAGGTTCCAGACACCCAGCCAGCCTGTAAGACAATGGACTGTCACAGTTTTATAGCTGGACTGATGCCAAGATTAGACCCAGCTTATACAGGACAAGTAACAGGTGTGACAACATGACCATATAAGGAGAAACACAAAATAGGCAGCCTAAAATACAACTTCAGCACATTCACACACAACACAGCACATTAACTTCCTTCAATATAAAATGAAACCTGAGAATATGGAATGAAACTTGAGAAATGGAATGAAACCTGAGAATATGGAATGGAACTCAAAATACGTGGAATGAAACTTGGGAATATGGAATGAAATATGACATCATCGAGGCACTAGCACCACTAGCGTTTTCGATGTCTGAGGTTCTGTACGGATGCAGGCAGTGCGTTGCTAAGACAGCACGAAATCTACTGGCAGTAATCCTGACACGCGATTGCTTGTAAACGGGATTTCCCATGACATCCAACCCCGGGAGTCAATTGTGTTTATACTCTATACCCCATCCCTACAACCGCTCTTCCAACCCAGGTTTCTTTCTAGTACTATATCGTACTATGACATACATGCCAGGGTGTTAATTACCTCCTCACTGTTCAGGATTGCTGCTACTAGATTTCGTGCTGACTCAGTCATAACAAGGCACTGCCTGCATCCCTAGGGGATAATTTGAGTAAAAGAAGAAAAGTTGTTGGTAAAATATTACTTGACCAAAGTAGTAGATTGATATTTGTGCTTGCTTTTAAAAGTATCAGAAGTAAAAGAACTGTAAGTTTTTAAAGAAGTTCTGCAATGAATACTTTCCAAGAGACTTTCTACTTTTAGTTCAGGAGTCCTGGCGAGAAGGCTCCCATAGCTTAAAATGTGGTGGGTTAATAGGGGGCGTAAAGGTAAAAGAGGAAAAAGACACTGAAACAGAACTGAAAAAAAAATAAAACTGTCATTGTATAAAAATGTCACAGAATATGGCCATTTTAACATTAATTTGTGTGGCCAGACTTACATTACAGATATGTCATTCATTTATGACTAGACATATTACTAAATTAAGATATCTCTAATTATATTTTGACTAGGTGAAATACCAGTTTGAGATGTCTCTAATTACATTTTGACTAGTGTGAATGACATCAAATTCACCTTTGAGCTGTATGGAAGTTACAATTCAAGATGTCTGCTATTAATTACTGACTATCTGAAACGACAATTTCAGATATCTACAATTAAATTATGACTAGTCATAAAGTAAATTAGATATGTCACCTTTTGTTCTGATTAAGTCCAATTAAGGAGATCTTCAATTTCCTCGTTATTAAAGATATATTAACTATATTTTTAGATATCTGAAACTGAGATTTCACTAGTGTAGATTAAATTGTAGATATCTTGAATGAAAATAATGAACATAACTAAGTTAGGGATATCCAGAATTGTAATTTTGACTAGTCAAAAGTCTTTTTAATATATCTCCAGATAAATGACAGATATCTTGAGCATGTTTTAGCTAGACAGCTTTTGTATTTCTGTTATCTTGAATGATCATTCTTACTAGTCATAACGTAGCAGATTTACGTAGCATATTTTCGCGCCAAGTTTATCAAAATACGGGCTTGGCATTGATTGCGGTTGCAAATCAGTGGTCTGTGTGCCTTGTCAGCCCAGTCTAATTCACATTCTCATGTCTTTAACACGATTTTTAGTGCTGCAGCTCGTGCTCGACAGGAGTTAAGCAACAGAGACGATTTATTGTGTGCAACAAGAAGACTTTTTCGCCGTCAAGTACAGTGAAGTCAAGGCAAGTTGGTGCTGACTGATTAGCTAGCTAGCTATCACGGTCCATGTTAGGTTAATGCTTTCCAGTTAAGACTCTGTTAGCTTCTGTGTCCTTAGCTAGTTGTTATTCTACCAAAAATGCGACGGCTTCGAAGTCTCAACCCTAGAATAAATTTCATAGCGAATATTAAACTATATAGGTAACGTATTAACGTTATATTAGCTAGCAGCAGGTGCATTGCAACCATGAGGTGTAATCCATTTATGTTCTGTCCACGTCCAGTTGGAAGGCGGGCAAACCCTGTATGGCAGGCAAACAATTTCTTACTCCCTGGCCCAGATATCGAGGTTCTACCCTCCGCATCTGAAGTAGTGAGACTCAGCAACCACGGATTAGGTGGGTATAACTTTAAATTTTCCGTGAGCTTGTTAGCTATCAAGCAACAAAGTTCACGCTAATACAGACACATTTGAATTTGAAGTCGATGTCAGAAGCCGCTTCGGTATTTTCTAAGACTTTAGCCCTTTGCTTGGCATGTACAGAGCTGCTTCACATTTTCAATGAACACTTCCCCTGAAACATAGGTAAAACTCTATATGAATTACGAGTTTTGAAGGTCAAGTAAGTTAACTTTGGCCATGTATCAATCACTGAATTAATGAAGTAATTAAATTTAGGCAAAAAAAACAGGCTTGTGAATTTGGCAACACTTTTTTATTTATTTTCTAAAAACTTTATTATTTTACTGTTTACTGTCACCTACATTCTCTTTTTGGATTACAGTTTGTGGTTTGAATTCAGTTAAAGGTCCTTTCTGTTATTTTGCTTGACTATTATTTTGTCACTGTGTCTATTTTTAGGCAAGCCAGTGTATGAGAGGACAGGAAACGGAAGGTCAAAAATGAACTTTAATTGGAGTTTATCTGAACTGAATAACTTTGTTTGCCAAAGCTACCACACATCAGTTTAAATTTGGTTGGCTTTGAACTGGCAAGGGCCAGCAAAGGACAAAAGGTAAAAAAAAATTACAAGTGAATTCTGTAAGGGAGCTGAAGGAGAGGGTTGGCAAAAGCAGATTGTACATTTTACCACGGGCAGATGTATTGCAGGTATGAATGTTTTGTACACAGGGAATTACTGTATATTATATATGCTGAGTAATGTGTGCCATTATAGTTAAAACATTTCTCTGTCCAACACAGGAAACATCACCAACCTTAGCAATGTCCAGGACTTCATTCCCAGAGCACTCCTCTGCTCCAACACTAAGCGAGACCTCCCCAGTGGTTGAGAACACCCAAAACCAACATTTGGTGGCCAAACAGGTAAACCATTTTGAGACAAATTTATCAGTGTTATAAGGCCTGGGAGGAAAGACGTAAAGGTTAGACCTAATACAATCTTAGGGTAACAATCTTAGATTGTTAAACTAAATGTTTGAGTGCTCATGTTTTAGGCAATTGAGAACAGACGTCAGCGAATGGCAGCACGTGAGGAACCATCAAGGGGGCTGCTGTTGAAGTTCAAATATCCAAATGGATTCATCTGCATGAGAAAATTCACTGAGCCAGTGTCTGAACCAGTGTCTGAGCCAATTCAGGTAGAAGGTTCAGTCAGAGAATGTATTATGAATTTGATTTCATGACTGAAATGGCATTCTCACTTATTGGCTTAGGTGCTGTTTGACTTTGTTGGACAAGATGAAATGGCCAGTGAAATTTTCAGTGTGCAAGAAGCAACATCGTCAACACCAATTGAGAGTACTTCATCAGGATCACTTATGGATCATGGTATAAACACATCTGCAACTCTGAATATCCAGGTAAAGTGATATAACTTATTTAAAGCTGCTTCCAGTCTCAAAACAAAATATGTCATGTCTTGCTTTAAACAGAGAATGTTATTTGCTATTTGTCTTTTTAGGAAATGATCACTGATAAGCCAAATAATGGAGTTTTTGACCATCCACTGCCCTCCGCCCAGGCGCCGCCGGACCTACCTTCTGTTCAGGCGCTGCTAACCCTGCCCTCCGCTCAGATGCCGCCGGCCCTACCTTCTGCCCTGGCATCACCGACCCAGCCCTCTGCCCAGGCACTGCCAATCCTGCTGTCTTCCCAGACACCAGCGATCCTGCCCTCCATCCAGGCACTGTCGAATCCACCGTCCTCTCAACCACCGTTGATCCCAGCCTCAGGGCCGCTGGCCCTGCCCTCTGACCAGGCACCACAAGTGATTATCATTGATGATTGGTCACCAACTTTTCCATCTATTGAGCCACCCACAGTCATCCTTGAAGACCAAGAACAACTTTGTCTCTCTCCACCCCAGTCTCCTCTACGTCAGCTGGATTTGCCTTTGGAGTCCAAATTACATGTTTGGGTTATAAGGGTTATGGTAGATTACTAGCACACAAAAGCTGAAAGAAATTGTGACTTACTGTATGAGACGCATGTTACCATCAATATGCCATAAACTGTTGGGATATGGGACATGATAGACTCATTTAGACACTGCACTGCTCCACCTTCTCACAGCTGCCGTAGGGTTTATTCGAACCATCATTTCACGCACCCTATGCCATGGAACCAGTAGCCCTTGTGTGTGGAGCAAGGCCCTCATCATCTGGTTGTATGTATAAGTAATGTTAGTGTTTTACACCATTGCAGGACTATTTTGTGTGTATATATTACATAATAAAATTTAGCTAGTCTAATGGCTATCATTTATCAAAGTAGAAATCTGGTCATAACATGAGCATGCAAACATTACAAAGTACAGCTAAACATTTTAACAATTAAAAACTCCGTTATTTGTGAAAAATAAATATCATTCACAAACAGACATCTGCACCTGAATGCAGCCTACTGTATCTGGCCTGAAGGAAGACTTTTTCAACACCACTTAAATCAGGGTCCAAAGACCTACCTCATTCCCTGAATTTGGATACAGGGTTTTAAGTTGCCTGATATAAATTTCAAGGTCTTCATCAGTCACTTCAGCCAACCTTCTTCCTACTGGTACACCAAGCACTTTGGATCTTTTGTAGAGATATGATGCTGAGCATCCTAATGTGTGGCCTTGGGTCAAAAGAAAGTCAGTCTGTTCTTTTGTAATATGAACAGCTGGTCTACCTTGACCACCTGAAATAGAAGCACATTCAAAAGCTGAAAGTAGCGTTGCAATATGTTCAGCTCAATTGGTCCATAAACATCTAACAACTAGGCCAAGAAATGCATTGTATTGTTATTTTTACGACATTGTGTTAATAATTGTATTTAATTCAAAAGTAAATAGGAGGTTGTGTACACTAGATTAGCTTCTTACCTGAACTGATTCTATTTGCAGAAAATGCTCCGTTTTCAACTTGGGAATGAGAAGACATTACCGCTTTAAGCTCTTCTAGGCCATTTTTAAAGTTCATCATGTGTCTCGAGAGACAGTAAATTCAAAATTCTTCGTAAATTTCTTGATCAATCCCCAAGTTAATGAAGTTCACGTTCTCCGCATATTCCATGCTGTTGAGCTCTTTCAAGATCGTAGCATTTTCTGACTATTTTGTCAAGGATAGCCAGCACCATTTTAGCTACCCAAAATTCTGCAGGCAACAGTCAAGACGACCCAGTGGCATCACATAGGGGCCTAATGCATGCAATGTCTATAATTCAGATATCTGAAAATGTCATTTTGACTAGTCATAATCGAATTAGAGATATCTTTAATTATAATTCAAGATTTGTGACTCTTCAAATGACGAAACTCGTGACGTCTTTTGAGATATCTTCAAAGGCATTTTGACCCGTCAAATAGTAATTGTAGATATCTTCAATTGCTGTTCAGTTACAATATTAAGATTGTAAATGCAGATATCTTGAGTTGTCATTCTGAAGAGTCAAAATGTAATTGTTACTAGTCAAAACTCATTCGTAGATATCCAACATTTAATTATGCATAATCAGACGAAAGCCATTTAATGTTAAAAGGGCTTGCCATACACAGAATTGTTCTTTACCAAACATAATTACAGTCGGTCAATAGTCGATCATAAGAAAGGGAAAGATAGACATACTTGTGATGTATGGTTAAAGTATAACATTCAAACACAGACATACTTACTGTATCTTGGGCGATCTTGGACGAATATAAATCAGTACCTCATGTTCGGGTAGAATAGCCTGTATACAGTGTAAATATTTTTGTTTTTTTATTACGTATATATATATAAAATATATACAATAATACATATATAATAAAATATATAATTTTTTATATTCTTAATTTTTGTGAAGGATAGAGTTTATATTTTTATCTTATTTTTTACTTTTAGTATTATATATTTTGTCTGTAAAGTAACAAGTAACAAACTGTAAAATCTTGTTAAGTAATTAACAAGGTTGATTACCTGCTTGTTAATTCTCTTGTTACTTCTTTTCTTGAATGCCTTGCCATACCTTTGCTGCTGGAACACTGAGAATTTCCCCATTGTGGGACTTCCAAAGGATTGTCTTATCTTATCTTATCTTATCTTATCTTACACTGGCAGAAAAATGAGTGAAATCAAATCAGTAACCCAGCTGAAAAAAGAAAGGTAAAAAAAGTTGTTTGCATACCTGAAGGAGGCTATTGGTAGATGAAGGACGTGCAGGTGACTGCAACAAGAGAACCAGTAGTGACAATCATGAGATTGAGGAGGAGATTTCAGAAACATTATTCTGACTGACCTCTAGTCAGTGGCACAATGATTTCTTGTACTAACATTAAATGTTTTTATTCCACTTACCATACATAAATTAATATTCTCACAAAGTGGATGCTCAAACTCCAGTTTAGACAGATACTGAATTTTCTAAAAGCTGAACACTGACCGCCCTGCAATGGACTGGCGACCTGTCCAGGGTGTATCCTGCCTTCCGCCCAATGACAGCTGGGATAGGCTCTAGCACCCCACCGCAACCCAGAAGGATAAGCGGTTTAGATGATGTGTGTGTGTGTGTGTGTGTGTGTGTTTGTGAACACTGACCTAACGTTAAGTGCTTTACACATACCAATTCAAGCATGTAAAACCATAGGGCAAAAAGTTATAGCTCAGGTCAGTTAGGATAACTAACAATGGAAAATTCTACTAATTCAAAATTCCTCAATAATTCAGTCCATGAGATGTAAACATGTGGCAGCAGAGTCATTCAGAGTGGTTTGATAAAAAATGGTTAATTGTAGACAAATGTACTGATTTCTTTACAGTGGTGGTGATATGAATCAGGGGTCACCATGACTACAACACAAGCCATTTTATGTACTATCCAAAACCACTTGTGAACCTATATGTGGTTTTGTTTAATGATGATGGTAACATCTGAAAAACAGTAGTTTTCTCTGGAGACTATTTTGCCCTGCATGCACCCCTCTGCCATAAATGAATTAAAACAAATGGATTAAAATACATGAAGTCATAATTTTATCACAAAACTACAACGTGTCCCCAAAAAATTGACATCATTTCGTAGTCTAATAACATAGCCAATTCTCCCTCAAATGATCTCAAATTTTAAGAAAATGTGTAAAAACTAACCAAGTTTAATTTTTAATGTGTTTTTTTTTCAGGTTGAAGAATGGCATTCACTAGAAATTAAAAGGCATTTTGTGTGTTAGAATATGCTCGAACACAGTCAAACATGAGTGTGCAGCATGCATTTTTGAGAAACTTCAATAAAAATGCCCCAACTGGAAAGCAGATTTGAACATGGCACAAAAAATTCTAAGAGGAAGGCTGTCTGTGCAGGGCAAAGAGATCTGGACGACCACCAGTATCGGAAGATATCGTCACTCAGGTTTGAGAAACATTTGTACGAAGCCCCAAAAAGTCTGTAAGAAGAGCAGATTCCTCATATGACACTTTGGCGCGTCGTAAGGAAACGCTTGTGAATGACACCCTATAAGCTGCGGCTCGTTCAAGCCTTAATGCGCATATTGAACATTGTGAAGCTTTGTGGAATCAGTTATAAAATCTACATCTCTCTAAATTTCTTGTCCGAATGTTGATAAATAAATCTTGTATTATTCAACATGATGCCTATTTAATTTCATTTGCCTAGGACATGTAGTTACTCAGATATTCACATCTCAAATGATGTCAATTTGTTTGGGACACGCTGTACCATAAAACAGTTTTAGCATATATCTAACAATTTCATATCAATTTTATATAATAAGTTTCTGCAAGGGAGCTTACAGAGACATTCAATTCTTCAGACGTCTGGTTCTTCACACCTCCACTTTGAACATTTCTGAATCGTAGGTTCGCAACCATTTAATTATGCAGATTGTTTTTTTTAAATCAGTGGAATCAGTTTTAACTAACTCAACCAGCAGTCACTCGATGTCTCTCCCTCTAAAGATTTCTGCTTCATCTTCTAAACTTGTGTGAGTGAAGTATCAAACCTGGTCTGTGGTGTGAAGCCATTAGCATGCTAGCCAGCAAACTAACAGCCCCACACACCACAAAACCTGATGGTGCTGCTGGTTTCTGCTTTTTGGACAATCCAGCACCATTCACCCAACTTTAGTCATTTTTCTTGAAATTCTTCACAGTTTAGCACAAGTTAGCCGAAATCGAACCTGCCCTCCAGCAGATCTGTTAGACTACATTTACACAGCAGATAAAAGTGGCCCAAATCCGATCTTTTTCTTCATATGTGACACACGCGAACTCGAACACATTCTGGGTGATGAGTCCAGCTGTCAACCACTGGAACTTCATAATTGCTCCTGTGATGCTGGCAAAGATGAAACTGAAAGCTGCGGGAGCGACTGGCATTTGTTGGCCGTCATGACTGTTTACCTCTGGACGAGCATGCCACGTGAAGCATCGTTCTTTTGCGCATGTGGGTCAGTTTAGTAGCATGATCTGTTCAGACTAAAGTCGCATACAGATCACATTTAAAAGATAATGTGAACAGCCAAATAACAAAATCAGATTTGGTGAGAAAATTTTTTTACCTGCTGTGTAAACGAAGCCTTAGAGAACCTGCTAACATTAGCTAAACATGAGCTAACTTAGATAGCAACTCATAGTTTATTAGCTAGATTTAGAACATGAATTCAAAAACATCACTCCAATTTTAAAATAGTAACTTAAAAAATTACCTTTTCAACTGACTTTATTTCTTACATTGTGAGAGCAAACAATCAAAAACAGGGTGACTCCCTAGCTTATCATAGCAGACATGGCATGGCTAACTAACTGTTAGCAAGTGATGCTAATTTTTGTTTTATTGTATAAAGAGTTCAACATTAACAGATTATAGGATTAAGTTGAGTAAATGTCAGATTGAAAACTGCTGGTATGTCAAATAAACCAAGCATTACTTTAAACGCTGTTCCCGCTTAACTGAACACTGGTCACTCGTTCGGCCCACTGCAGCACATCTGCCTCAATACGTGTGGAATCAACCCACCTCAATATGGGTGGACTCAGTCTGCCTCAGTACGGGTACTGATTGTCACACATAGTTTTCATGCTGTTACAGTGGGTGGCAAGCCGAGTTTTTTCACAAACTTAATTTTCTAGGTACTATTATTGTTGCTGTTTTTGCTATTTTTAACTTATAAATTTAGATTTTTGAAGTGGTCTTATGATTAAAATATTTAAAAAAATGCTTATATAATAATAACAATCATATGTATAAGGCAGAATATTTAAGACATTATTTTGGTTTAAAGTTAAAATTTCAGTGTTGATTTATTAGCATTATGTTAAGCGAGCGACAGAGAGCAGCATAGCTTAGAGCTTCAGATCGAGCAGCGTCCAACCTTCACCTAAAGAATTAGCAGTTAGCAGGCTGCTAACCCCCCTCACGTCTCACGCCTCTCCCTTTTATTTTGTTTTCTCCTTCTCTCTTTCTCTGTCTCTGACACAGATATTACTTCAACCTATCCACCATGGCGTCCGCCCAAGAACAAGCTCTCCAGGCACTGAGCTCAGAGTTGGCCCAGCTGGACCGGCAGATCACCGCCCTCCTGAAGAAGTAGGACGAGCTCCTTCGGCAGAAGGCGCAGCTTGAAGCCACCCGGGAAGTTTCCTCCTTGGTGGTTGCTCCAGCCTCGTCTCTTCGTACACCAAGAGATGCCGTTCTCATGCCAGCCCCACCTGGTCCCTGGAAATGGCAGCGCCACAGAGGGCCTTGCAGACCCTCACCGCCACCCCTGCCGATATTCACCTCCTGCAACTGTTTCGCTGCCCTCAGTTCACCGCCTTCACCTATGCATCAGGCCTCCTTGCCACCCACCTCAGCGCCCCGGACCTCGTCACCCACCCCAGGACTTCTCTCCCCTCGGCTCTCATCGGACGCAACTCCTTCGGGACCGTGGTTATCCATGTTGGGACCAACGACATCTCTGACCGACGTAGTGAAGTCCTGAAGGAGCACTACCAGACGCTACTGGACACCGCCAGGAAGAAGACCGGGATCGTCATCTCCGGACCTCTTCCCACTTACAGGAGGGGATCAGAGCGTTTCAGCAGGCTCTTCGCGCTTCAGTCCTGGCTCTGTGACTGTTGCGCCCTTAACGGCTTGGGCTACGTGGACAACTGGTCCTCATTTTGGGAACGGGCAGCACTCTACTGGAGGGATGGGCTTCACCCTAGTCGTCTGGGATCTGGTGTCCTCTCTCGGAACATCGAGAGGGCCATCCACTGACTACAAAGCAAAGGCCAAAAATAGAAACTCTACAGCTTACAATGCTAGTGTTAATACTGAAAATAAGGCGATTACTAGCACTTATACTGTAAACAAGGCAAGTGCTAATAAAAATACTTATTTTATAAATATAAATGCTCATATCGCAAACTGCCTTGAGATGCCACATAGGTTTTTCCCAGTTGAGACTGTGTCTGTTCCCCAAATAAAACAAAGCTTCAAAAAGCCTCGAAAAGTTTGCTCTAGTAACTTGATTAGTATCAGACCAGTTATACCAGTTTGCAATGACCAGTCTAAAACTAGGACTGCTTAACATAAGATCTCTTACATCTAAAGCCGTCTTGTAAATGAAATTATTACAGATTACGATTTTGATGCTCTTTCCCTCACAGAAACGTGGATTAGACCCGATGAATACTTTAGTCTAAACGAAGCCACCCCCACAGGCTACAGTTATGCGCATAGCCCTCATTTAAGCGGCCAGGGTGGAGGTATAGCAACCATCCATACTAAAGCTTAAGCGTGAGCCAGAAAGTAGGCTATAAATTCTCTACTTTTGAAGTTCTTTTACTTAATATACTTGATCAAGGAACAAATAAAAATTCCTTGTCGCTCATTACAATTTACAGGCCGCCAGGGCCGTATTATCAGTTCTTACAGGAATTCTCTGAGTTTCTATCAAGTTTAATAACATTTTCAAATAAAATAATAATTGTCAGAGATTTTAATATCCACTTTAACAATCCTCAAGATGCATTAAGTAAGGCATTTATATCTATCATAGACTCAGTCGGTTTCACCCAAATTATAAAGGGGCCCACACACTACCACAACCACACTCTAGACTTAATACTGACCTTTGGTGTAGACATAGATAACTTAGCCTTTCTACCCCAGAGCACAGCAGTCTCAGATCATTACTTAATCTCATACAAAATTCTCTTTAGTGGTAATGTACATTCAACACCATGTTATCGTGTTAAGCGGACAATAACTCCCTCCACAGCTAGTAGCTTTATCAGAAACCTTCCTCAATTATCAGCTTCCATCTAATCCTACTGAGTTAGATATTATGACCAAGTTCTTAGAGGATACTTTTCGATCTACTCTAGATAGTGTGGATCCATTAAAAAGTAAAATAGTAAGGCAGAAAAAACTCGCCCCTTGGTATAATGAACATACTCAAGCTTTAAAACAGACTGCCAGACAACTAGAGCGAAAATGGCGCCTGACTAAACTAGAAGTGTTCCAGTCTGCCTGGAAGGAGAGCCTTATAGACTATAGAAGAGCACTTGCTACAGCGCACTCAGCCTATCTCTCCTCTTTCATAGAAAACAATAAGAATAATCCTAGATTACTATTTAGCACAATTTCTAAAATAACGGAGAACAAATCAGTTAGTGAACCCCAGATGCCATTAGCCTATAGCAGCAATGATTTTATGAATTTCTTTAGTGATAAAATTGAAAAAATTAGACAGAAAATTCTAATTCTATTCTTCTAGAATACACAATTAAATTCTACAAACCTGCTGCCTTATAATACCAGTCTAAATCTTGAGAATATTATAATCACTGCAGAGAGGCTGGAATCGTTTACCTTACTTCAAGAAAATTAACTAGTTAAAATTGTTTCTTCCACAAAATCCCCTACCTCTATGTTAGATCCAATTCCTACAGGTTTACTCAAGGAAATTTGGCCAGAAATATCCAAGCCTATTCTGTCAATAATAAACTCCTCTCTTAGCCTTGGATACATCCCAAAAATTCTTAAACTAGCAGTAATTAGACTGCTGATTAAGAAAGCTAAACTTGATCCCTGCGCATCAAATCATAGACCTCTCTCGAATCTCGAACATCTCAAATCTCCCCTTTATATCTAAGAGCTTGGAAAAAGTTGTAGCAAAACAATCAAGCTCCTAATTCAGTCTGGTTTTAGGCCACATCATAGTACAGAGACAGCACTAGTAAAAATTGTAAATGATCTTTTATTATTATCTGACCAAGGAAATGTGTCTCTGCTAGTCCTCCTCGATCGTAGTGCAGCATTTGACACAATAGACCACGCTATCTTACAAGATAGACTAGAAAACCTTGTAGGGGTAACAGGAATAGCTCTTTCCTGGTTCAGGTCCTACCTCACTGATCGCTGTCAGTTTGTTAACGTAAACAGGGAATCATCTGTCCATGCAAAAGTAAAGCATGGTGTTCCACAAGGCTCTATATTCACAAGGCTATATTCACAATATATATGCTACCACTGGGCACCATTATCAGTAAATACGGCATAAATTTCCGCTGTTATGCCGATGATAAAATTAAACTTAGCAAGATTGAGGACTGTATAAAAGACATAAAAGACTGGATGTTGAGTAACTTTCTCCTTCTTAACTCGGATAAAACAGGCTTCTTGGTCCAGAAGCAGCTAGAAACAAACTGCCTAATGAGGTGTATTTAAAGGAACATTTTTATAGAAGAAGGTAAAAACACTCTTAACTTCTAGTATAAGTTGAGGTCTGAAGCTCTATGCATCCTGTGTTTGCAGAGTTTGGAATGTTTAAATTAAGGGGGCCCCCTGGTCCAAAGGCCCCATAGGGAGTAGGCCTCTCACTTTCTCCCTTCTTCTCTTAGTTCCAAATAGATGAGATTATTTTAATAAGGACCATCTGTTCTGTCTCCTTTTTCAACAACAAGCAGCCTATATAAGCCATTGGCTATAGTGGTCTGGAGGGGATGCTTTAGAATTGGCACGGATCCTCTCTCAGATACTTTATAGTGCTTGATATGATACTGTTTTACTTTGTAATAAACATCTTATACAAGGAAGACAGTGTCAGCGGAGTCTCCTTCATCATCTTCACATCATCTCTACTTAATAAACAACACTAATTTTACACTTAAACTTAACAATTTCCCATTAGCATCACGCTCATCTGTAAAAAATCTTGGTGTTAAGATAGACCCTGATCTGTCCTTCGACGCACATATAACTAATATTACTAGAACAGCCTTCCTGCATCTCCACAATATTGCTAAATTAAGAAATGCATTATCTCTACAAGATGCAGAAAAGCTAGTTTATGCATTTATTACTTCAAGGCTAGATTACTGTAATGCCCTGCTGTCTGGATGTCCCAGCAAAAGCGTTAACAAGCTTCAGCTAGTCCAGAACGCTGCAGCCAGAGTCCTCACAAGAACCAGAAAGTTTGACCATATCAGCCCAGTTCTATCAACCCTACATTGGTTACCAGTTAAATTTAACATTGACTAGAAAATTCTATTACTGACCTATAAAGCTCTAAAGGGACTCGCCCCTCAGTACCTGAATGAAATTCTCTCCTACTATGAACCATCACGCCTACTTAGATCACAAGGTGCTGGCTTACTACTAGTACCTAGAATTAATAAAGTTACATCAGGGGGGAGAGCTTTCTCATACAAAGCCTCCCAGCTTGGAATAGTCTTCCTGTTAATGTTCGGGACTCAGACACAGCCTCAGTCTTTAAGTCTAGGCTAAAAACTTACTTGTATAGTCAAGCCTTTGGTAATTAGTTTTCCCTGTCAGATCCAGACCTGACGGAGTCTCTGCTGCTCTGTTTATACTGTAATCTGTGAGCAGTCACTCATTACAGAACTGACTCTTTGTGTGTTTTTCCTTTCTTTGCCGAGTTGAACAGCTGGCCATCCTGTGCGTCTGATGCTGTTGCCTCGCCTGCCTTGATCGGGTACCCACTGCTCACCAGCCCCCTGGACCAGCTTGACCACCACTGAGCTTCATGCTGAACAACGCTATGCAAACCTCACCGTCACAAACTGACCCTCCCAATGATGCTGCTGCTGCTGCCTAAACTAAACTAATCAATTGAACTATTGTTCCACCCATTTTCCCTGTTGTGTACTACAGTACTTTATACTAACAATGTTTAGCTATCCGGTGTCAACCAGAGGAGGATGGGTTCCCCTTCTGAGTCTTGGTTCCTCTCAAGGTTTCTTCCTCCTGCTCTTAGGGAGTTTTTCCTTGCCACTGTTGCCACTGGCTTGCTCATGGGGGGTTTGGACCCAGATTTCTTTCTATAATGCTGATTTTTATTTATTTTTTACTTAATTAATTTTTTTTTTTTTGTAAAGCTGCTTTGTGACAACACCTGTTGTAAAAAGCGTTATATAAATAAACTTTGCTTGCTTGCTTTTCCCAGCCATTTAACATTAAAAGATGATTCAACGTTTTTTCAAATTGAAACAACAACTGACATTATTTCAAACACATTTCAACGTTGAAGGTCAGTCATGTGCCAGCTGGGTCTTTAAGGTTTAGACTTAGCATCCAAAGCTAGCTGTTGAAAAGATGACCAAAATAGTCACATTACAGACGTCATTTAAGGTTTTAAGGCCATTGATTCAATGTTGAAATCACATACATAACTGCTGTTTAATTTATGCTTATGCTTAGGCCTTGGAAATTTTTTAAATATTTGAATGAATAATTTCCACTTGTACACTCTCAAAAAGATGGCACTTCAAACATTCTTCAGTAAAGCAATGGTTCTTTTTAGAATCATGAGTTTTATATAGAATCATTTCATGCTTAATACACTGTAACAATAGAAGAACCTTTTTTGGTGCTATAGAGAATCAACTTTTCTATGCAAAAAATATATACAACACATTCTCCGTCAATCTGAAGAACCATTTCACCATCCCACAAATCTTCATGTAGTTAACAAATTTGATCCCAATGTAAACATAAAACAAAACAAACTTTGTTAAATGTCAACTTTATTGAAAATGTATAGTTGTTCTTAATTTCAAGTGTGGAACATAAAACTGGACCATGAACTTCATCAGTACTCATATACACACGATCAGGCATAACAGTGTTGGTGTGGTGTGTTAGTGTGTGTTGTGCTGGTACGAGTGGATCAGACACAGCAGTGCTGCTGGAGTTTTTAAATAACTCAAAGTCACTGCTGGACTGAGAATAGTCCACCAACCAAAAATTTC